CAGCTACATTCCAGGGAGCTTCAGTTCTTCCTTCTATCCTGGACAGGGACAGGAAAACAGAATCTCTGGACGAGAGGGTGTCACTGCTGGAGAATGTAAAAGACCCGCTAAGATGGCGGATCAGGCCCCAGAATCTGGGCGTAAGAAGACCGTGGGCGCAGTGGGACTCAGTGCGGGTAGCCACGGACGCAGACAAGGGCTGGGGCGCTCATCTAGAGGACAGACAAGCCCAGGGCCCGTGGGAGCCACACCTACGAGGGACCTCCTCCAATTACTGGGAGTTGTTGGCAGTAGGTCAGGCCTTGAAGTCCTTCGAAGACCACGTTGGGGGGAAAAGAAGTCCAAATTCTGTCGGACAATATGTCGACAGTGGCATACCTGAATCATCAGGGGGCACCAGATCCCGGAAACTCCTGGACCTACCTCAAAATATTCTAGGATGGGTGGAGAGCGGGGTCCTTGCGGTGTCTGCTGCCCACATAAAAGGCTCAGCAAACACAAAAGCAAACTTTCTCAGCCGACAGTTAATCCACAAAGGAGAGTGGGAATTTATTTCTGAGGTCTTTTTGCAGCTAAGTGTGGTTTTTTTGTAGCCCAGAAATATATCTTTTCGCCAGCAGGAAAAACAGGAAAGTGAGGTATTATTTCTCCAAGGCCTAAGAACTGGGGTCTGGACGCATTAGCACAGGAATGGGACTTTGAGCTGGCATATGCATTGATCCCGCGAGTGCTACAGAAGTTGAGCCGGTCAAGTTGCAGACTGATCCTGTTGCTCTGTGGTGGCCAAGAAGAGCCTGGTTTGCCACTTTGAAGAGGTGGTCCATGGTTTCCCCACAGCATCTCTAAGTCAGGAAGGATCTTCTCTTGCAGGGACCAACTCTGCACCCCAATCTGGATTTTTTCTGGTTAACGGCTTGGTTAACGGTCCTTGTGATCTTAGACTTTCTTCAGGCAGGGATGGATAAAGGTATAGAGGTAAACACCCTAAAGGTGCAAGTGGAGGCCTTATCGTTCAATTTGGACCAGAGACTTTCATCAGAGCCCCTAGTTAAGAAGTTTTTAGAGGCCAGGGAAAGAGTGACCCCCATTAAGATATAGTTTTCTGGCTTGGGATCAAACCTTGGTGTTAGAGGCATTAACCAAGCCCCCATTTGAGCCAGTAGCACAGATTTTGGTTAGGATGTTTTCTTTTAAGTTCGCCTTCCTGTTAGCCATCACAATGCCGAGGAGGATAGGTGACCTTCAGAGCCTGTTGATTGAGGAACCCTTTCTGGTGGTACAAGAGGACAGGGTAGTGCTTAGACAAGATCCTCTTTATTTGCCCAAAGTGACATCACAATTTCATAGGAGATAAGAGATTGTCTTACCATCCTTTTGTCAAAATCCTGAGAATGAGAGGGAAGAGAGTTTTCATTCTTTAGATGTCAGATGGTGTTTGTGGACATATTTGGATAGAGTAAGTCTCTTCAGGAAGTTGAGTCACCTTTTTGAGTTTGCTTAGCGGCCCTAGGAAGGGACATCAAGCATCTAAACTGACAATAGCTAGATGGATCAGACAAGCCATCTAATTAGATTATGAGCAGTCAGGGGTTTCAGTTCCTATACACCGGAGGATGGAGCATTGATTGAACAGATTTGCCAAGCAGTCACATGTAAAACCCAGGACACCTTCGTGAGACATTACAAGGTAGAGCTCTTGTCACCACAGGACCTGGCGTTCGGCAGGAAAGTATTACAGGCAGTTGTTCCACCCTAAGGTAGACCTGAGTTCCTTGCTTCTCGTCTCAGGTGTGCCGTCCTGGAAGATGACTAGAGAAAAGTACCAATTACATGTAATGGTGTTTCTGGGAAATCTTCCAGGAAGGCAGGCCTACTTCCCACCTGTGTCTGGTGTTGATTAATTTGAGGCAGAATACCTTTTGTGCACCAGGATGCAGGAATACTTTTGCATAAACTGAGGAGGGGAAGAAAGGGCAGGGAATTTAAACTGTCAATTTTTTATTGTGTTTTCTGTCAGGCAGAGCTAGTCACCTCTCAGGTGTGCTGTCCTGGAAGATTTCCTAGAAACACTGTTACCGGTAAGTGTAACTGGTACTTTTTCAAGATTTGTCTTTTTTTTTTTTTTTATGTAATAAAAATAAAAAACCTAGTAAAATTCCACCAAAAGAAAGCTTTATTTATTATTAAAAAAATTACATAAATTTCATTTGTTTACTTGGTGCATGGCCGTGTAATTGCTGGTTAAAGTAGTGCAGTGTTGAATGGCAAAAAATGGCCTGGTCAGGAAGGGGGTACAGCTATCTGGAGGTCAAGTGATTAATGCATTCTATGTATTAGGTTAATAATCCTTCTACTAGCTGTTCTTCCTCCCCAAACACTTACCTGAGTCCTCTATCCATCCAGAGCTGTGCTCGTCTGCAGCTCTTCTCTTCCTCTGCTTATAAGCCTCACTGAAAGAAATGGAAGCAATTGGCTCCTGCTGCTGTCAGTCAAATCCAGTGAAGAGGGAGCAGAGCCGAGCCACACCGTGTGTGTCTGTCTCTACACACCTACAACTTGGCTCGGGAGTACACAGCTTGCTATGGTGGCACACAGAGAAGAGGCTCGGGGCTGCTCTGTGTAATACCATTGCACAGAGGAGGTAAGCATAAATCTACTTTTTTATTTTAATGAGAACTTTTGACTTAACCGCTTTAAGTTTAATGCCACCCCTGTACCTCTGCTACCAGCAGTGCGTTTTCGATGCGGATGTGGGAAAGTGTGAGATTACACATAGTCCTGCATTGGCACATCGTGTGAAAGCTATAGATGGTTAGAATCTTGGACGATTTAGCAGGGATCAGCTGAGATTTGAACAATCTATGGACAGGCTGATTGCACCCAATTTGATTGTTGTGTGAATTGGGTACAACTAGCCTGTTGGATTTCTCATGCGATTATTGCCAGGGGCTATAGCCGCTAGCCTGGCAGGGAGAACACAATGGCTCTGTGGGAATACTTCCACCAGCAAGGTCTATGACTGGCTTTAGGCTGGCTACATGTGTTAAAATGTAATTAACCACTTCATCTCCAGGAGATTTTACACCTTCATGACCAGGCCATTTTTTGTTGTACTACTGGTAATTGCACGGTCATGCAACACTGTACCCAAACTAAATTTATCTAATTATTTTCAAACAAATAGAACTTTCTTTTGATGGTATTTGATCACCACTTATTTGAGTTTTTGGGTTTTTTTTTTCTTTTTTTGCAATATAAAGACTGAACATTTTGAAAAATAGAAATATTTTCTACTATAAAACGTATCCAATAAAGAAAAAAACAAAACAAAAAAACCCCACTAAATTCTTCATGAATTTAAGCCAAAATGTGTTCTGCTAGATGTCTTAAAAAAAAAAAAAAAAACCCTAATTAGCGTATATTAATTGGTTTGCATGAAAGTTATAGCACCTGCAAACTATGGGATATATACTGGCATTTAAAAAACTGTTTTGATACTACTAATGGCATCATGGGGCTGCAGCAGTGTGGTGGGCAATCAGATACTAACTGCCACTGATATCACCAGTGACATTACTACAATGACCAGTGCTAATACTGTACACTGTCACTGTGCTAATGACTGCCTGGGAACGATTAACATTTACGTTGATCAAGAGGTTAAATTTAAACCTAACTATGTTTAAAGTGTGCTGCTTTTTATGAAGAGATCTGTCAGAGTGTGCGCTGAAAATCCTGAAGTAGGCCGAGATGTACCTGTATGTTGCTTTTTCTATAGCGGCCACCCATCCGCAGTACAAGACAGGTGGCCATAAAGTGGCTAAACAATCTCCTTTACATTTACCAACAGCAATGTAATGTCAGGGCCTACCTACCTTATTACCCACTTGCCCTCCTGATGATTTCCCCCCCCTTCCTGACCAGGCCATTTTTTTGCAATACGGCACTGCGTTACTTTAGCTGACAATTGCGCGGTCATGCAACTCTGCACCCAAATGAAATTTACATCCTTTTTTTTTCCCCACGAATTGAGCTTTCTGTTGGTGGTATTTGATCGCCTGTGTGTTTGTTTTTTACTTTTTGCGCTATAAAAAAAAAAAAAGACCGACAATTTTGAGAACAATATTTTTGACTTTTTGCTATTAAACATGTCCAGTTAAAAAATCAAATTTCATCATAAAGTTAGGCCAAAATGTATTCTGCTACATGACTTTGCTAAAAAATAATCCAAATACATGGAAATTAATTGGTTTACGTGAAAGTTATAGCGTTTAAAAATGGCGGTATAGATACTGTAATTTTTTTTACATTGTTACTAGTAATGGCAGAGATCAGCGACTTATAACGGGACTGCAGCGGGCATTTTGACACTGGGGGGAACTGACTGGATGTCTCTGACATCCCCAGTGACACCAATACAGTGATCTGTGCTATAAAAAAAAAAAAAAAAAAAGCACTGACGCTGTACTAATGGCACTGGGCAGAAAGGGGTTAACATGAGGGGCGATCAAAGGGTTAACTCTGTGCTGTTTCACTGTAAGCGGTGTCCATGTGCTTCACTGTAATCGCACTGCTTTGCGTGGCTGTGCCGTGCACAGCCATCCACAGCAGTGTGCACCAGCTGACAGGGAGAACTGTTTCCACAGACAACTTGGCTCCCTCATCACAGGATTTGACTGGCAGTCAATGGGTCCCACTGCCTCTGCAAAGCCTGTGAGTGCAGGGAGAACTGTGACAGACAGGCAAAGTGCTGCATCGAGTGAGGGCTCAGGTAAATAAAAAAGGAAGGGGGAGTGAGGAGTTATACTGCTACCTAATAATTTTTTATCTCGATGCAAGGAATTGGGTAAAAAAAAATTAAGGTAAAATATGCTTAGGCTTTGGAACCACTTTAAAGTGTTACTAAACCCACAACAGTAAAATCAGTCTGTATATGCAGTAAAGCATGCTTGTTATACTCACTGTGGAACCTAAGGGGTTAATGCATTGTTTAAAAAGGCTGTTTGATCCTTTCTTCACTGCCCCCCCTCTTGTTCAAATGTCTACGTTTTATCTCCTGATAAGACAGACTGAACCCATAGCCCTTCTGCACATGCTCAGTTTAATGTGTATTGCTAGAGAGGTTTTTTTTTTCTTGGGGGAGTGCATGTGATCAGCACAGGGCCAATCAACCCTGCCCAGATAGAGGTCAGGGGTTTTGCATCCTCTTAGAGCAGAAAGAAAACTCCTACAAGCTTTAACCAGTGCTCTGCTGAAGTCACAAGACTGCTCTAACTGCTGATGAGAAAAGGTTTTTAGCAGTTTATATTTACTAAAATAATTGCATTTCCATGTTGTGTGTACTGTGGGAGACCAGATATAGTGAATGCAGGGTCCTGGGGTTAGTAACACTTTAAGGCCAGGTGCTCTGTACATCCTCCCATTGAGCTCAATGGCTGCATGTGGCTATACACCATTTCTTGAGTACAGATGTGTGCCCGCAAGTTTATGTAAGTACCAATGTATGCCCGCATGCACAATAAAGATGATGATTTTTCATGGATTTTATTGGTACCTCATGGAGATATTTATTTTAGTTTAAAATCATATACATTTTGGCTCACTGGCTGTGAATTACAGCAGCGGGAGCCAATGGCTCCTCCTGCTGTCTCAGCCAATGGGGAGTGGGAGCCCCTGGAGAGCTGAGCATCTTGTTTACATTTCTGGATTACTATGGGGCTCATGTAAGTACTGGGGGGGGGCTGGGAGGATGCACACGTTTTATTACTCTCATCCATAGAATGCATGAAGGTAAAAACATTAAACCTTTACAACTACTTTAAGGTTAACTATACTTTAAAGAGAAGTTCTAAAAAAAAAGAAAAATACATAAAAGTAGCTACAAATACTGTAGCTGCTCACTTTATTATTAGGCAACTAACCTATCCAGGCTTCCAGCGGTGTCCTCACCTGAGCCAATTCTTCAATCGGCTGTCGGGTGCTGGTGCCTCCATCTTGACTAAGGGAAACCGACAGTGAAGCCTTGCGTCTTCACAGCCAGTTTCCTACTACGCAAAGCGTTCTGTGCTTTGTGAATGGGCCACAGTCTTCTGGGACCAGTGACGTGTCCCAGAAGGCTGCGGGGGAAGGGGCAGAACTTCTAGATCAGTTTGCTGTGGCTGAATTGTGATTGGGCCCAGTTAGGCGGGGTGGAGGATCTGCTGCCCACAGGAGGTTTTTTACCTGCATGCATAGAATGCATGCAGGTAAAAAACCTTGAGCCTTTACAACCACTTTAAGCTTTGATACAGCATTGAAGCATCATTTAATATCTTCCCTTTTTAGATGTGTTTCACAGACTTGGTCCGCTTCCTCAGGACAGAATGGTATCTCACTAAACATAATGCAACAAAAAAATAATACAAAAAAAACAGAATAGATATACATAGAATGTTAATAAAATACATATAAATCTTCAAGAGTGATAGGTGTCTCAGCAATGTAAGTATGTTCATACATGTCATATACTGTCCTTGTGTGCAAAAGCCTTACACTGCCTCATTTTATTTTACTTTAACCTCTTCCTGACGTGCTATAGTCAAAAGACGGCTACAACATGGTTGTCCAGTTCTGAGAGGGCATCTATAGATGTCCTCTGAGAACCAGAACTCCCGTATGCCCCCTGGGCATGCACCTGGCGCGCTCTGTGATCGCTGTGTCCATTAGACACAGCTGATCACAGATTGCAATAAAGGGCCAATCACGACGACCCTTTACCTTGTGTTACCTGTTGTGTACAATCATAGCTGATTACATTGTAAACAGACTTGCCGGTTATCGACAAGAGACACTTACACTAAAAATCAGGGCACTGATCATCAGTGCAGCCCATTAGTGCCCACGAGGGCAGCTTTGTCATCAGTGAAGGAGAAAAAAATACCTTTTTACATGTTATAACAGAAACTAAGAAAAAACTTTTTTTTTTTTTTGTGGAAATTTTCTAATCTTTTTTTTTTTTTTTTTTTTTTTTTTTTTTTTTAAGCAAAAAATAAAAACGCAGTGGTGATTACCTTCAAAATAAAGCACTCTTGTAAAAAAAAAATAAAAATTTAAATTTAGTGTGAGTACAGTGTTGCGTGACGGCTCAATTGTCATGCAAAGTGTGACAGCACTGAAAGTTGAAACTTGGGCTGGGCAGGAAGGGGTTGAAAGTGCTGATACTGAAGTGGTTAACTGGTGAAAGAGCAAATATAGGGGCACCTAGGACTAGAGTAAGCATTACATGTTCTACTTTCAGAAAACCCTATAATAATCTAAAATGCCTCTTTTTTTCCTATTTGTGTGCAGAGAACTCCCAATTTTTTATTACATTCATTTGCACTTAAGACCTGTACTAGAGAAATATTTGTGTGTAATTTTTTTATTCTGATTGTTGCTTTATGGATTTCTGCAGAGATTCAAGACTAGCCCGAGGACACATGTAGAGCACATGCAATGTTGACAAAGCTTAAGGAGTCGAATGTTTAACAGCAACATTATTATTTATAGATGGTTTAATTAGGTTTTTAGAGTAATGTGTTTGTATTTTTTTGCCCTTGAAATGCCTTGTTGTACTCTTTATATCTGCAGTTATTGTAGCGTTTGAATTCTTAAACTGTAAATATGTTTGGCTGGCCTTGTTTTATAAACTGAATAAGCCAATTGCAATCCATTTTGTTACATTTCAGTAAAATGATTTTTGTTAGGTTACTGGATAGTGTACTTTACCTTTTTTCTACTAGCGCTGCTCAGTAAACAGACCTCTATAAACCATGTACTGTAGATATCTGTACAGTTGTGAGTTTATGTAGCACTTTGGATGGAGTGATATGTGTGGAAGCCTTATGACCTCTGATCAGTTTTTCAGTACCTTAGGCTACGTTCACACCTGTGTGTCTACATTTTCATGTATTTATGTGTTTTTCATTCTCTCCCTTTTGAAGCTTATGGGGCCATAAATGTTGCATGGCGTCACATTGCTCTGGTGTGAATAGACCCCATAGATAATAATGGGATTGCTCTTACTGGACATTTTTTGGGTGACAGCCGAAGTAATTGTAGAGGTGTGGCAATGTTTTGAAAATAATACACTTGTTCAGGGACTAAATCGGGGCCCCAATCTACTTGTCCTCATGACAATCTACTTGTCCAGATCATTTTTTTTTATTACCAAAACCGTATTTAAATCGGAGGTGATTTTAGGAATGTCTGGGGCTTTTAAAAACAAGAGGCTTTATTGCGACTTAAACATTTAATATTTTTAACATTGCGCTGTTTATCCCCTCCTGAACTCCCTGCCTGTCTCCAGCACTGCCCCCGGGACTAGCAGGGAGGGGAGAGACCTTGCAGTGTGATAAACAATGATTGGCTGCTCGTCAGGCAAGGGTGGGTCAGGGCTTATACTTTATCCCTTTTTGCTGCCAGAGCTTTTTTTGAGGTTTCGCTGCCAGAGCCGTTTTTTTTGTTTTTTTTTTTTGCACACGTTTTAAAAATCATTTTAGGCCTGAAGATTACACAACACTCCCAAACATTATATATTTACTGAAAACAGAGACCCTAGAGAATAAAATAGTGGTAGTTCCAATTTTTTATCTTACATTATTTTACCACATAATTTTACTAAATACAAGTAAGTTAATTTTAGGGCACAAAAAAGCAATACATTTCCCTATTTTTTTGTAAAATATAAAAGATGAGCTTGCAGCGAGTAAATAGATATCCAACTTGTCAAACCTTAAATTTGTGTGCGCTTGTGAAATGGTGATGCACTTCAGTACCCTATATTTTCTATAGGTCAACATTTTAAAGCTCCTCACCTGTTTAGCGTTACGGAGGAGGTCTGGTGCTAGAATTATTGCTCTCATTCTGGCGTGCGTGGTGATATGTGACATTTGTATGTGCGTATATATGTGTGGGTAGGGGCCTCTATATTTTTTTTTTGGGGGGGGGGGGGGGGATGGTATGTGCTTGAGTGTAACTTTCATTTTATACATTAAAAAAAAAAGTTTTTTTTTTTACTTTTTTCATCACATATGGAACAAAGTCCCCTATGTGATGATTTTTGGTGACAGGTTCTCTTTGAGACATCTAGTGTCTAAAAGACCCTGCATGTCTCCCCTCTGCTCTACTGAATGTAATGCAGTGCACATCGCACCGCATTACAGACTTTCCCGGGGATTGCATTACAATCTTTCAACGGGGACCGGAAGTGACGTTACATCACATCCGGGTCAGCACAAGGAGATGGGCCCGGGAAACCTCACGAGGTGGGAGGGGAGACAGGGGGCGGATAGGCTGGCACTGTGTGGAATTAATCGGCCACCGAATGCTTCCACCTGACAGGTGAACCTGCTGCTTGCCCACAGCAGGGCTACAGGTAGAGAAAAACTACCTGCCCGACGCCTGGAACTACATGTCCCAGGCGTCGGGTGATAGGAATCCCAACATCCCTGAATTGCATCAATGGCACAGGTTTGAATGGGGACTTGTTGGAGTTGATTTACTAATTGGAAAGTACAAAATCTAGTGCAGCTGTGCATGGTAGCTAATCCGCTTCTAACGTCAGTTTTTTTCAGTTAAGATTTGACAAAACCTGGAAGCTGATTGGTTTCTATGCAGAGCTGCACCAGATTTTACTCATTCCAGTTTTAGTAAATCAACTGTGTAATCCACAGTTTGTGAGTATTATTCACAAAAATACATATTAGTTGTGTTTCTAGACTTGTGTTAATAAGATGCTTTTTCTTCAGTGAGATAGTGAATGTATAAGCAAAGTTGTTGACCAACGATTGTGCTCATTCTTGGATCTGATTGCCTTGGTTATGTTGTAAAATCTGTTTTATCCATTCTTGGTCTGATTTAAAGGGGGTTGTTTAAATATGGGGGGAAGCAAACTGCTTGTGTTGCCAGTAACACCAATAGAATTGTTTTCAGTGCTGAGATGTGAAATTGGTGTAGTGGTACTGACCCATCTAGAGGAAAAAGCTTCAGCTCAGCTTCTGTAGTCGCCCTACCCTGCAGATATAAACACATTGAAGAGTGAGTTCATCTCTTTAAAGTCGAATGAAGTTCCAGTAGGTGGGTGCTTT